TTCGGGTTCAGGAAACCTATCCCCCATTAATGAAAGACGTTGCACTCACGTGTAGGTGCAACGAACGAAGAAGGCACGACTAATCGGAATGCGGCGAGCAAGAATTTTACTTTTATTTCGTTGTAGCACAATTTTTCTTCCCGCGGGACGATTATTTTTACCACCGAAGAAAATCTATGGTTTCCGAGCAATTTCCTGCGAGCAGGCACGTAGTACGCCAAGGAAAATAATGTTTCTCGCCGCACGTGATCGTTAATTACAACTTACAGCGCCGAACGCAGCGATAATATTTTCAGAAGCTTCGTCGAACAAGCTTCACTTTCTTTTTCGTGGATCCATTTGTCAACCCGTCTCCGGATTTACGAGTATCACGCCGGAATAAGATCTTATTGAACATAGGAAATTGTTCCCCTTTTTTCATACGAGTAAAATTGCACGTTACGTTATTGCAACGCGTTTTTCCTTCTAAATCGTTCTATACACTAAACGATCGATCGATCACCGTGTATAAGATTGAATAAAAACGCAGTTTTATTGAAAATACCGTTACTTCATGGTGATATACGAAAGCACACTATCATGACTCATGAACTTTCTTGCATTATGCGCTTCTAGTAGTTGGAAAGTCCATAGAGTCGGCGCCGCAGGAGAGTTACCATTACCGTTTACGCTGATAGTTTAATATACTTAACATTACTCGAAAATTAAGCAATTCCCGAGGATTAATTAATTACAAGTTGTCGAGTAGGTGTCTTTAACCTTCGCAAAGATGAATTACCTCTCGGAGAAATATTCTAACCGATAAGTTTGTCGGGCGTTCACGTGTCGTGGGTTTATTATGTAACAACGTAAAATGCACACGTGCATCCAGGATGCATACGGGCCGCTCTTACCCTCGGGTTTTCCCTTTTTTTCCCTACGAGGGATTTTATAAAGGTTCCGATGGGTGTTATCCGATAAATCTGTACGACGAGAAAAAAGGAACAAAAAATTACTTTAATCGTGGTCGGGTTTTTTCGTCAATTACATAGTGCACCTGCAATTTAAATTATACTTCTTACAACCTATAAGCACAGAAAAAGAAACTACCATTTAGTACAAAAATATTGGGAAATATTGCGAAAAGTTTATACATTATAAATTTTATTACATACATACAAATTTGATTAAATACTATGAAGTTTAAATGATACAGTTCGAAACTATTGTATAGTAAAGTAATAACACAGTATAAATAGTACATTATCTTCCGTAGAAACCTTTCAATAAGAAACAAAATAAATAGACGAATCATAGAGTCAGGAAATTTTTTCTGGGCGTCGATCGATTCTTTAACGTGCACCATGGATATTATGTAAGAAGAAAAGAGAAAAACGTACGTGCACTGTAATCTTTTAACCTCACCGTGTATTACCCCTGTTCCCTGTTGCGTATCCGCGACGGAAAACCGCAGCAGTGAATATCTCTTGCGATTTATGCGGCATAAAATTACACGTCACGAAAGCTTCGGCTTTAAAGGCTGTTTACCCGATTGGATTTTTTCCGCTGCGGCTGTATAGTCTGAATGATCATAAACAGTGTTGCGTCGGGTGATCCGGTGGGTCTATACTGCGTGTCCTGTTAATCAAACGAGGCGAACGCGAAGGTGCTGATTCCGCGGATAAAAATAATTCTTATAAAAAAACTGATGTTAAAATAGAAAATTAATTATTCGGCAATTATACGTGTTAATGAATGAAATCTCTTAACAATTTTTGTTTACTGATCGTGAATCACTTATGTTTTCGAAATGGTACGAATAACGATAAGTTTATCGCGATAAACGAAAAGCGATATCGTACATCAGACAGAAACATGGATTCGTGTTTTCCGTCCACGGTAATGGATCCTATTTACTTAAACTTAGTGCGTGTGTGTTCACGTGTATCAAACGAGACCCGTCCGTCCCTCACACATCTGTGTTACACGGCCTCCACCACCTCCTCTTCTTCCAAGGTAAATTGCAAAGGCCGAGGGTGGATGTTTCGCGCTATTTATAATGTTTACAGTGACGGACGCGTTCGGAGGAGAGCAGTAGCAGCTGTTTTGTGTTATTTACCGGCTGCTTAATTACAGGTTACCACAGTCGTCCATAGGCGTGGTAATTGACCGCGATTCCCGTAACCACTGAAAATCGACTAATTCCGTGGAACAAAAAAAAGAAACGAAGGGTGTAACCAGGGTCATACGGGTAAATTATCCCGGAGGCGCGGTAGGAAACGATTTTGCAAATAAAGCGCGTAATTCTTTTACGAACGTTTTTATTGTTTACGAGAGAGGGCGCCATTGTTCGCTCGTCGTCCTTGCATTATTTTACTGTTGATTGCTTAGATATTCGATGAGAAGGTGGGAGCGTTCCAATGTTCGTATTTCGTGTATTATCTGTACTATTAAAGCGAAACGTACATATGTTACATCAGATCGTGTACTAAATCCCTGTATATCGCTAGCTCTGCAGATTTCTGTCTTCCTAGACACTCGTACTCTAAATCAATATTCCTAGATCTACCTGTAGCCCCCATTATCTGGATCTATAGTTCAGATAAGAATTATACACGTTATCTATTATTTAATCGTTGTAATCTATCGAATCGATATGTTAAGTGTAGATGTTGTATATCGCAAATGTTTATCATTGTACAATCGTAAACCGCGTTAAAAAAAATTCCCGGTTCTCTTCGCGTAACGCATTCTTTCATCGTATATCTTTTTTTATAACCAACCTTGATATACTTGGGATCAATCATTATGCATCGCGTGCACGTAAACGCACTTTTAAAAAAACCGCGGCGGGGTCTGTTCGACGCGCGTCACGGTTGGTCGCGAGACAATTTTCGAAATCGTTCGCACCCGAGCAACGTATTAAAAATACCCACGCGAGGTTCGTACTTGCATACGCGTACGTCGGTGTGTTTGCACGCCCAGTAATCGTATCGCTCGATCGGATATTTTAACCACAAAACCATGAGATGGCGTATCGTTTCCTCGAGACACGGTGTTGTAGCCCAGACCCGTGAAAGTTTATCGATCGATAACATCCACCGTATAGCTATTCGATACGTTCGGAGACACCGGCTGCCATGCATATCACGAATCGGTCTTTTGTAGCGTCGATACCATGCTGTTAAAGTTCTCAGACGTACACCTTTGTTCATCGATCATTAACATCCTTTTCGGAACAAAGAGATCCGGCGAAACGAAGGGTCTGTCTCTTCCGTCTGGCGGAATCACGGTTAGTTTGTAATTGCTCCACGTCGTTGGCGTTGCGTTCTGTTGCGTGCACCGGTGTTACGGTATGCGTGCGTACACGCGGGCATTCATCACGAAACACGTGCGTCTGTCTCTCGCGGTCGTTATCGGTTGAAAAATTCGAGTTTCTTAAAGTACGAGATTGTGGCGTTCTTGTCGACGTTTGGTAGATAGGAATCTAACTGGCTACCGTCGAGCATAGAGTACAATAAAAACCTATGTACGCTTCGAGAATCGAGAAATCTTTATAGGCGTAACGGCGTTCTCGATCTACGGCTCGATATAATACAATCGAAGAATGGCGGAACACGGATAGCACGATGTTTTGACAGCACTCAAGTTAGTTTAAGACTTACAGTATTCTCTGTTACGACGTTCAAATATTAAATATTTAAATTCTACTATTATAAGAATAAATAGGTTAGATAATCTTAATTTGTAGTATATCGTAAAGATACGGTTAGGAACGAAAGTATTTGTATAACGGTCTGAAACTGCGAACCACTGTTTTAAAAGTGGCTAGCGGTTTTTCAAGGTTCAATTTGCCGGTGAAGCCTATCGCTTCGTTTGCTATGCGATACTCGTTTTCCCATTCCTCTCCTTCTTTCCCTCCGCGTTTCATCTCTTAACTCGAGAATGCATAAACGCGTCGTGATTCATAATAACGTTTATTCGTCGTGTATTCGTCATAATCCGACAGTATTATGCCCTTACGTATTTTAGCTCGTTACAATTTTTCATTTATTACGATTAACTATGCAAACTGTAATTAAAAGCAATCTCTATTCAAAACGTATCCGTTTGCGTATTTTAATTAAAATAAAGTCGTTCCTGTCCAGTTGAATAAAACGTTATTCCGCGTACGCTATAACGAGCAGCTTCCGCGTTCGAAATCGCTCGTTTGCTTTTCACTTTGGTTCATTAAATACCTCGGCTTCGGCGGTGAGAAGGAGCGCAGGAATGCTGGGTATTATCTCATCCCACAACAGCATCCTGCATTCTTATGCAATAGCAGTGTTTGGTCATGAATTGCCCGATAGTTACGTTTTCCTCGAAAGAATTTGTCATTGGACGTGTTGATTTCCCGTGCGAATTAATTAACCATACGCGAGGATGGCACAGTTGTGCAGCGTACCGACGTCAATTAAAGGACGGGTTAATAAGTCGTGTGTTTCCGATAAACAGCCTAACGTGCTCCTCTCTGCCGACGGTGAAAATTCGTCGCATCTGCACGTGCGTCGGAATTGTCAAACAGGAGAAAAATAACCGAGACTTACGTAAGCTGCGAGAAATAGCGCGTCTCGATGCGCGGCGAATCGGGAAACTGAAGTACGTTCATTGATGACGACACGGCAATTCAAATCCCACTTTCAAAAATTTTTAATTGAACCAATTAATTTTTTAACTGTTATTACTATTAACTCATAAATTTATTTTTATACTTTTGCACCACTAAATTTTAATAATTTTATATTTCAATATCTACAAATCCCAATATCTCTAGAATTTTTTTTATGCATCAGAAATTAGTTCCTTTAGCGGGTGAGTTGCGACGTCTTTCACACATGTTGTATACTTTTTCAATCATCGAGTCGTAAATTATACAAAATATAAAGTACCCGATAAATAAGTTATAGCGATGTGTCGGTATAAATTTCTGGTTATATCACTTAGACAATTTTATTAGACGTTGTTTGATCTTTTTGTTACAGATATACCAGACATTCCTGAGAACATCAAGAATTTACGGGCACTTCAGGTGGCGGACTTTAGTAGTAATCCAATTCCAAGGCAAGTATATTTCACAAAGTAGTTTACTGGAAAAGAGGAAAGTACGGTAACGGTAGACATTTGTTTATCAGGCTCCCAGCAGGTTTTGTGCAGCTAAGGAACTTGACTGTTCTCGGACTGAACGATATGTCCCTCACGAATCTACCACCTGATTTCGGAAGGTAATGCCAAGAACTTTGTTTAATTAAGTTTGACGCTCTGAGCAATTGAATTTGTACTTAGTTGTTCTGGTCGTTCATTTTCAGTTTAGAGGCATTGCAGTCGTTGGAGTTGAGAGAAAATTTGCTCAAAACCTTGCCGGAATCGCTGTCGAAACTTTATAAATTAGAGCGGTTGGATCTCGGTGACAATGACATCGATGTTCTGGTAAAATATAATTAGAAGCATTATTGAAAATTTTAGTTTCATTGTATGAAATGATGTGTTTTATTTTAGCCAGCACACATAGGGAAATTACCAGCATTGCAGGAATTGTGGTTGGATCATAATCAGCTGCAACATTTACCACCTGAACTTGGGCAACTGAAAACGTTGGCGTGTTTAGATGTCTCGGAGAATCGTTTAGAAGATCTTCCGGAAGAGATCGGAGGTTTAGAATCCTTAACGGACTTACACTTATCGCAGAATGTTATCGAAAAATTGCCTGATGGACTTGGAGAACTTAAAAAACTGACCATTCTTAAAGTTGATCAGAATAGGCTTTCTACATTAAATCCAAATATAGGCAGGTGAGATTAATATCTTTCTTCTTTTCAATATTCATTGAATTGAAAGGAAGTGAAACAAAAACTAATGTATTTGTTTGTTTCAGTTGTGAAAATCTTCAGGAATTAATTCTCACGGAAAATTTTCTCTTCGAACTGCCTTCGACTATAGGAAAACTTCTTAATTTAAATAATTTAAACGTAGACAGAAATAGTTTACAATCGCTTCCTACAGAGATTGGTAAAAGGAGTTTGTCAAAATTCTTAAATTTTCAGATCTTTGGTAATTTTATTTGAGTGCATTTGTTATATTTATTTTAGGGAATTTAAAACAGTTGGGTGTACTATCTCTAAGAGATAACAAATTGCAATATCTTCCAGTTGAAGTTGGGCAATGTACTGCCCTCCATGTGTTAGATGTATCTGGCAACAGGTAATTCTAATTTTAACTTTCTTCAGTTTATAAATTTTCTTTCAAGGAATTACTAATAAGCGATGTTTGCTTTTTCAGATTACAGTACTTGCCATATTCCTTGATCAATTTGAACTTAAAGGCAGTATGGTTAAGTGAAAATCAAGCACAACCAATGCTTATTTTCCAAACAGATATCGACGAAGAAACTGGACAAGAAGTATTAACATGTTTCCTCCTGCCACAATTAGAAATCCATCCTGATGGTTGGTGGATTATTATTTGAAGTATACATAATAATAGATTATTTAAATGTACGGATGTTGTTTCTAATACAATGTTTTATTTAGATTCGGGAAGACTTGGTATGCTAGTTGGTATGAGAAATGCTGTCCAAGGTGAAGTACGTGAAGCAGGTAGCAGTGAGGATGAAGAATGGCAAGAAAAAGAAGCATCACGAACGCACTCTGTTAAATTTACAGACGAACCTCCAGAAACTGATAAGGAGGTGAGACGATATTCAAGAAAACCTAAATTCTTTCGATACATTACATCTAAGTTCAGAATATTGTCGCGTTATTTTATGTGTTGGAAAGGTTACTCGTATAATTCATTGTATTAAAGTTGAAATGTCAGAAAAACAAAAGTGTCTTTCTTTCCTTACCGCTTATCTTCTTAAATAGCACATACATAAAGATTTGTATTTATTTCAGACACCATTTGTACGACAAAATACTCCTCATCCTAAAGAGTTGAAAGCGAAAGCTCATAAATTATTCAGTAAAGGAAAGAATGACAGCCGATCAGCGTCTACGGAAGAACAGGTAATACTTCGAAAAAGCTTAAAATATCGGTTTGTGTAACGCTTTTATAATTTTTAATATTCTTTTAGGATGTTTCTCAAACATTTGGTTTAGATAAAACTGAGACTGATATCGTAACAAAATCTAGTGATACAGTAGAAGATTCTACAGAATTAGAACCAGAGAAACCTGAGTCTGTAGAAAATGAACAAACACAAATTGTACCTGGAACATTGACTAATAATACAGATCTCCAGTCTAGTAATGAACCAGAAGTAGTTTGTAATCAATACGTTGCAGAACCTAGTGCTGTAAGAACTTACACAACAATTGATAAAATTATTTATTTATTTCCATTTATTAATAAACTCGTATATTTATTTTTATCACTTTCAGGAGGTCAGAACTGATGGTTCAGTTACTGAATCAAAGGAAAAGAGTGAAAAGGAGGATGATGAATCGGAAAGCGAGGAAACTCAAAGACACGTAGAATTTTCTATAACAGAGGGTACTGATTATGAGGGTGGTGGCGATTCAAATAGACCAAATAGGCTTCATCGTAGAGACACTCCACATCATTTGAAAAATAAACGTATCCATACAGCAGTGGACAAAGAAAAAGTTGCTTCCATTATTGCCCAAGTAAGATTATCTCCCTAGTAAGATTATCTCCCTAAAACATATTTATAAAAAACGGTAAATATATATAAATATGTGTATATGTATATATTTTTTATATTTAAACAGGCACTTATGAAAAAAACTGATGACACTCCCGCACCCACGTCAGCGCCCACAGAACCCACGGAAAATTTTGACACCCAAAGTCAAGGTAAAATAACAATCACATTACGTCACTTTTTAATTTATACACTTTTCCGCATTATTTAAAAGAAATTTTATAAGTAATGTATAGAATTATTTAGTGTTCACGCCCTAAAATGTAATAAAACACGTCAGTGCATATAGCAGCCTTTTCTGGTATACTGTAAAACGAATATTTCTTGATATGATTGCTTCGTAATCGTAACTGCAAATACACTATGATAAGATACTCCTTCCCTCTAGCTATCTTATCTCTCATCCAATTATCTGGTTGGTTTTATGTCGCGAATCTACGTGTGTAAAGGAAAATGATTGAGTCAGATGTTCACTTAAAAATTCGAGTAACAGTAGATATTATTTTTTAACATAGTAGTAAAAATGCCTAGAAGATACAGGTGTTTCGTCAGGAAAAAAAGGAATAGTGGTAACGATTAAAATGATATAATCAATGAGTTAATATTTATTAATTGCTTATAATAATTCTAGGCGCCACATCCGACGCTGAACCAACAATAGAAGTACGAGAAGAACAATATGAAATTCATATCGAAAGAACGACAGGCGGACTTGGTTTGTCGATCGCTGGTGGAATCGGTTCAACCCCTTTTAAGGGGGACGATGAAGGCATTTTTATTTCTAGAGTTACTGAAGGTAAACATTTAAATGAAGCACCGTTACCCGTAAGCTCTTAACTGAGTGTTTGATCTGCTCGTTCACTGAGTTATAACATGTACCACAATTACAACCATACTATTGAATTTTATAGGCGGACCTGCAGATTTGGCTGGTTTAAAAGTGGAAGATAAAGTACTGTCCGTGAACGGTGTTTCGGTAGTAAATGTAGGTCATTACGATGCCGTAGAAGTTTTGAAAGCATGTGGGCGTGTTCTTGTGTTAGTAGTTCAAAGAGAAGTTACGAGGATAGTACCGCCGTATGAACAGGTACTACATTCTTGAACATACGTTTGTTGCAGTATTATTAACATTATCAAACATAAATAGGGATCATCTAGAAAAGATTCGGCATGCTCCAGTCTCAGTACCAGTAGAGCACCGAGTGCAACGTCTCATGTTTCATCCACGGGTTTACCGCATAATTTAGAAAACGGAGATGCTTTACCTCAGGACACTATTAAGGTACATGCTGCTTACATTTATCAGTTGCAATACATTATCAGCGCATAAACTGTGAAAATATATTTTTTCTATCAATTAGCCCAAGAAAATTCCAGAACCTATATCCTCGACAAAGGCAGGGAGTGAACCAATGGTATCTGTTCTTGTTCATACAACATTAATACGGGACCAAAATGGGCTTGGATTTAGTATCGCTGGTGGAGAAGGCTCTCCTCCATTTAAAGACAATAGTGATGTAAGATATAAAATCAGCAATATAATTCCCTCTATACTTTTGTATAGACTGAAATTTTACATATTGTTTAGGCGATATACATTTCAAGGATAACTGATGGTGGTGTGGCACAGAAAGATGGTAAATTATTAGTTGGGGACAAAGTAATATCTGTAAGTGTATATTTTCTTAATACACTAAAGTTATTGTATTTAGTTATACTATCGTCTACATTTTATGTTCTTAATTATTTTTCAGATTAATGGTGTAGAAATGAGAGGTGCTAAGCACGAACAAGCAGTTGCCTTGTTAACAGGCTTGGAAAGATTCGTTCGATTGGTAGTCGAACGTGATATTCCACTTTCCCAAGCAAACGCAGCCACGGTTGTAACACCTTCAGAAAAGTCACCGCGTGTTATTGGTGCACCTAAACCATACACAGGGCTATATAATGCCAATAGTTACATTGCAAATAGGCCAGGATATACTAGCTATCGACGCTCCGTCGATGCTGATAGAACTTTATCCCCGAGTCCTACTTCAAAAACACCTCCGCCCATGAAAATTGAAACCACTGAGATGACTAAAATGAACGGCGTTACAGAAACAGGAAGTGTTAAAAATGTCTCATCGATATCGCCAAGTCCGACAAATAGTCAACCTCATCCACAACCTGCTCCGAGGCATAGTATTTCGCAGCCGACGATTACACCCACGACAACTGCAAGCTCGACGCCTACCTCTTCTACAGAGCCTAGGTCGACCTCACCCCAGGAAGATATACAGGTACCGAAGCCTATCACCAACGAGGAATTTCAGGCTATGATCCCTGCTCATTTCCTCCGTCCTACCTCCTCACCATCGCCAGACCCCCATCAAGGCCCTATCGTGACAGTGACAATAAAACAGCCTGATAATCTACCTGGGGATGTTAATTTTCCTCCGGCCCCTACTACTCTTGGTAAAGTTACTGAGACCATCACAAAGAGCACTCTCACCGAGACCGTCGTAACTAGGGTGACCGAAAATCAATTGGTACCACCAGTAATCATTGAGGTATGTGCTTGGTAGTTAGATGCATGAATTATGTTGTACACTGGGCGAACGCCGTAGGCTCCTGTAAGAAAAATGACAATGTAAGGAAATTTGGGAATTCGGAAATTTGAGGGTTTAAAAATTTATTTCTTAGCCAAAGGAAGTCTACGTTGCGTCCATGTGTACATGTAACTTGAAATTATGCAAATTGTCATTTAATTGACATTAAAATATTATTTAGTTATTTTTTCGTCGAACAATAACGAAAAGAAAATTTATGAAACACGTAGCTTTCTAAATATTAAGATTATAATTGTTTCTTCTCCGATATGGGAATAGTTGCATTTTTAAAAATATCTTAAACTAAAGTTAAGTATTTAACATTTGTGACCTATTAACTTATTTCCATGCTTGGATGATAATCACGATATTGATAAGAATCATTTAACAATATTCCTACTTAAAAAATTTTAACATTAAGACGGTTTTTTAGCTCGTTTCATTACAATCAATTAAGATTTTGAATAATCCCAATTTTTATGATGGTGGTTAAGTGGTATTTTCATGCATGCTATAAAATTTTTATAAACTTTCATTATTTCATACAGCAATGCTTGGTATGTGTTTTTTTTTATTAAACGATATATTATTCTTGCGTTCGAAAGAACATATCTGAAATTATTATAAAATGATGTCCTCATTACTGCATGCTTATGTAATTTAAATGTATCGTCAATTTCATTCATTAATTCAATACAATTTGTCTTTTGTCCCTTGTGTTTATTGCTAAAATCAAAGTATTCAGTAGGAATTGGTTGTATGGGATGTTGTGTTATTTTTTATATTATATTGGGATGCTTATCCTCTGGCATGGAAATAGGTAAGTAGTATAGTTAAGCATATTGTATTATTAATGTACTGTCATATTATACAATTATATGTTTGCATTAACTGGGGATGTGCGGGTATTCGGCTCATTCGTTTACCTACACATTCTTAATTAACTCATTATAAATACAAAATGTCATCAAAATAATTTATTCTCATAGCTTAATTAAAATAATAATTTAATCAGGTGTCATCTATTTTAATGACTGCATTTTTATTGTTTAGGATGTAGTTCTTGTGAAAGAAGGATCATTAGGATTCAGTATTATTGGTGGTACAGATCATTCTTGTACACCATTTGGTGCAAAAGAACCAGGAATTTTCATATCACATGTACGTACATACTTTCCTTTTAATATAAAACTTCTCAATTGATTTTACATGTAGATTATAAGTGTTGCATAAATATGTTAGGTTGTGCCTGGTGGTATAGCTGCAAAGTCTGGTAAATTAAGGATGGGTGACAGAATACTGAAGGTAAATGGTACTGATGTAACGAAAGCTACTCATCAAGAAGCTGTAATGGAACTTTTACGACCAGGAGATCAAATTGTGCTTACTGTTCAACATGATCCATTACCAGAAAATTATCAGGTAAATGTTTTTAATATATTCATCCACATGCTTGCTAGATATTGCACATAGTTCTACGCTTAACAAAATAGTTTTCTAGTTTGAACACGCTTCAGAAATGTAACTTTATCGACTCACGAATTCACAATGAATGTTCATTAACCATCCTGAGTTTCACTTAGTGTTCAAATATTAAAAAAATTTGAAACTAAATACAAAATGTGCAAAACATAAATACGTGCATAAATTTAGTTCACTCAAGAATGTACATAAAATAGTCATTTTAATTAGGCAAAAAATAGAATAGAAGCAATAACATTGAATCGTTAGTACTTCACGCCATATGCCAATCAATCGGTGCTTATCATTTGCAAACAATGGCACTTGGTGCTTATAATAATTTCCTCGTGTTATTTCTTAATGCCATTATTTATAATTTGTCCTACAAGCTGGTCGAAATAGAGTACATCCCTGTGACAGTAAGTACTCAATTTATTTGACCTGATTTTTTTTCCTTTTTTATTATACTATGCTTACTCTTCAGTTCAGGCTGCGAACAAGCTCAGCACCAAATCATGAGCTACTGCTTATCTGCCTTGGCTGATATTATATAGAATTTTACAATTTTTTTAATTTGCTTTATATGCTTTATGCTAAATTGAAAAACATATAACAGTTATTCTACTGTGTATTTATTATTTATAAAAATATGCGAACAATAAATGTGATTTAATATACTTCAGAATAAGAGAATATTTTTGTAAATTTTAAATCAGATAATATTAAAAGTGATTGCAGTATATTTAAGATTAATTTTATATTTTAGGAATTGGTTATAACGAAAGAACCAGGTGAAAAATTGGGAATGCACATAAAGGGTGGACTTCGAGGACAAAAGGGTAATCCCCTTGATCATACGGACGAAGGAGTTTTTATATCTAAAATAAATTCTGGCGGTGCGGCTAAAAGAGACGGAAGACTGAAGGTAATTATTATGGTAGTTATCAAAATTAAACTTGTGCAATATTGTTACTTATGTATTTTTGATCTTAGGTTGGAATGAGACTCTTGGAAGTCAATGGCACATCATTACTAGGTGCAACTCACCAAGAAGCAGTAAATATACTGAGGTGTTCAGGAAACACAATTACCTTAGTAGTTTGTAAAGGTTATGATAAAAACGAGGTTGAACCAATATTCCCCGTATCCGACGGAAGGGATTCTAAAGAATCTAGAACATCTAAGGAATTCAAAGATCCTGCAGCCGATGGTACTAAATCTTTATCGCAAAGTGTATCCAGTTTAGATCGTGACGACGAAGAAGCAGCAACGCTCAGACAAGAGCAGGAAATGAAAGCCGAGCTTGTAGCATGGGAACAAGAAGAAAGGGAGCGTGCTTTGTTAGAACACAGAGAAAAGTCTACTCCTGAAAAAGTAAAATTATACTAAAAATATGCTCGCTGTGTATGGTTATTCTATGGATGTTTCTAAAGTTAATGTTAATAATAATGATATTGTTAAACAGGTATTAGATGTAGTAAGAGCAGCCGAATCATTAGTAAGCAAGTCGAATAGTCCCGTCGACATGGTTCCACCAAAATCACCAGGTGGCACTAAAGATCTCAAAACGACTACCATTGTAATGAGCAAACACACTTTAGCACCTCAGAATACAAATGTGAGTATTTTTATTATCTTTACAAATTTTAAGTTGCAAAATTGGTTGCATTTGCATGTTTTAATAAGTATTACCTAATTTGCAAGTAGTAGTTTGCTTTTACTATTTATAATAAAATAATTTTACTAAAATTTTTGTAGAATATTATAATTAAGCCATAACGTTTAAGTGACGTTTAAAATTCCTGTATGATTAAATAATTTCAGCTTTTTTTATTTAGCCTTGTAATTACTTTAAAAATACAATGTATAAATACTTTATGAATGTAGGTATAATAATTTCATTATTCCTGCATATGTTACTGCTTGATCCACTTTAATTTTGTGAAATTATCTCTGTTTATTTTTTAAGTTGTTCTTTTAGAAGTTGTTTTATAATTAGTGCTTTTAATTTTAAGTTCCATTTTACATGCATGAGTCTGCTGTGCGCCTTATAGTATAGAAGATCATTCATTTATTTGCTCATGTATTTTCTGTGTATGTGTACTCATCGATACATACACATATGTTCTATTAACAGACATATTACACAGTTTATTAATGGCACTAATGGAACAAAAGGAGGGACACATTTATTTATCTAAGTTGAAAAGTGATAGACTTTCATGACTTTAAGAATAGAAAAGTTATTATGGTACAATGTGTTGATAGAACTAGGTTGTTCTTCCCTAAGAATATAATTGATACATTAAAACTTTATCTGATTAAACAAAAATAAGACAAATTTAATATTGTATATTTACATATACTTTTATATGTTTAACATAAGCATGGTCTATAACAGTGATTGGCAACTGCACCCATAGAGCATAGTTTATGTATGTGCAAATAATTTGTAACTGTGGCAATTGATGGATGAGTTTCTTAATTGGAAAATTTAGATATTTTAAATTTCGACGAATTCAATGACTTTCTTCAGTACTTAAACTGCTCATCACTGAACATAGTATTTTCGAATGACATTGCATTTAACACAAACTTAAATACATTCCTCAATTTGTTACCGCTATAGAAGAATTGAAATATTTGTCATTATCATACATTCACCATGAATCTCATTACTTATTTTTAATATGTGACGCATGAAATGTACATTTGTCAGTGTTCTTAGCGTCGCATGCTCTCCTGAGCGGCAAAACAAGAGATATTTCACGTGTTTACAGACAGTGGAAGGTGATAGTGCTACTTTGGCTGCCCTCTAACAGGAGTGAATCCGTTCGACCCTCTACTCATTTTCCCTGTGTCTACGTCCATACCTCTGAATCCGCGGGACTGTGCCATAATAAATTATTCTAAGGAATTCATGTCGTTAACTCGCATAATCACATAATGTTTATTGCGTTTCATGGGTATCATTGTTGTACAATTTAACTATCGTTACTCCGTTTGTTACTGATACTGCCATTATAATATTAAGTGTAATTATTGCGAATACGCTGACTGGCTGGGTTGATTCTGTGATTGTTTCTCTTGTTTTGGTCCAAGAAGGGATCAAGATTTTAATCATCACAAAGAATGTGATATCTTCCTTATATTACATGACTCTCATGTATATACTCATCGCTTCTTTGTTCATGGATATCGGTTAAATGATGAAAAATGAAAAGATATTTCTGTGATAGGTAGACAGACGTCATAGACGGTAAAAACTTCCCATGTATTTAATGGATATTTTTTAGCAATATTTGTACATTGATTCGTACATTTCTTTCGCAATGTGTTTATAAAGTATTAGAAATGCGACGGACAATTATTGCGATTAAGTGAGCTTAAAAAATTTATGTGAATCTTTTCTGGGCACTGTATCAAAAATGATTGAAAGTAAGAACATAGATGGTAATAGTTAGACTGCACATATTTACATAGTTATGATATATCAAAATCTACAAACATGATGTATCATAAATGCATAAATATGAGCTGTTTAATAATAATAACTTCTGTGAATGCTAAGTTCAAAGTATATTACTGTATTAGTAGCTTCTATACTAATATACCTGTAACTAACATTTCACAGAAGATGTAAATTCTACCATTAACTTTTCTCTTCTTGATACACAATTTGGCGAGTAAAGAATCGAAAGTCTACATTCATATCTATTACTATAATTTCTAAAAATTAGTTTAGTGCCTAGTTTGCAAATTTAATTACTTTTTATATATTGTTTTTAATAACCCCACTTATTTAGTAGTCTGCAGTTGCAATACTATGAAAAGATTTGTTTCACTGTTATTTTTTACAAATGTTTTGTAGAAAATATGCTAGAAATGTCTTTTTTATATTATCAACAAAATAGTTAATATAAAGAAACATAGAATATTTTACTACTTCCAGAAATGTAAACATTATCATACAGTAGAGGTTTACATGTTGTAATTTATAGTTATGCTTCATTTTATATATTTTATTCACTCAGAAAATAATATCATGCGCGCGTGTTACTAACTATGGGAGTGTATCCAAGAACATCTCGTTCTAATTATTCGGTTTATCGTATACTGTATAAAGTAAAAAAGAAAAATGAAATATTTGTTGAGACATCATTTGTGCATCTAGCATTTCTTTTTTCTAAGTTATAAATGCTAGCACTCTTGGATGGTTACTTCTACGGTAAACTCATATCACTATTAAAATATAAATCAATGTACTGTATTCTACAAATTTTCTATAAATGTTATATGTTGACATAAATCTAATGGACCAGATGTTTATATATTATTACAGACTATAAAGATAAGATAGTATTTATCTAATTGTAAAAAAAAAGAAAGATAATGTTAATGTTGAAGTTCCAGTTGACAGTAAAAATGAAATATGTGCAGTGCTTTATTCAGACGTATCTATGCGGCAGGTTGTTCTGAAAGCAATTAAAGTTATCCCGTTGATATTATTAAATTGCGAGAGTATAAATTTTTCATATTCGTATTTAGTAACACAGAGATCAGAGTTCCTGTTACTGAATTTATCGTCTGGGATAGAAACCACCTTGCTTCAGAATATCTTGTCACGCATTCATGCGTATGGAAAGATGATGGATAGGGTACAAATATATGACGTAACTTTATAAGGCCGATTTTAACGCGTTTAAAATCATTGGAAGGGTATACAGAGAAAATTATGCGCAAAGCTGCATGAATTGTTGCAATAATAGTACAATTGATATAACATTGAATGTATAGATGGTATAAAAAAAGAATAATGAATGAATAAGTTCAAAACTGATTCCTTTTTAATTCTAATATAGATTTTGTATGAGATGTAGTATTGGAAAATAAATCTGTTTTTAAAGTATAATAATAATAACAAGTTTCACAAAAATAATCTTGTTAATCTTAAACAGAAATGTATCCTCATTTGATGGAAGGATACAGATATTTTCTATTGTACCTAATTTTTAAAGATTATGTTATGTAGTATGTAATGGTTTTTGTTATGTCTTTATACTGGAACATTGAATTAACTTTACTAATACAATTCTTCATGTTATTTACTCAGTCACTAAGGAAAGAGAGAGCTGTTACACCAGTGGACAATCCGTCGCTTCAGTCTCCGGTCTCTACTCTTACTCCATCAAAGAATTTCGATCGTAATACTACTGTTCAAACCTTGCCCTCTCCGAGGAAAAAAAGTTCTGCACCAAAGCGTAGCATTACGTTCGCCGATCTTCCTCCCATTTCCAAAGAAGAATCAACTAATTATCCCTATTCGCCTAAAATTAAAGAAGAACGGCCATCATCCTTGCATGACAAATTTACTTCAGATCCACACATTTTTTCTTATAAGAAAGTTTATCAAAGTCCTACCCAGACTGTTCATTCTCGTTTCAAACTTCCTCCAACGCCTTTAACTTCTCCTAAGTCCATAGAAGATCTTGGCACTTCGGCTTCTTTTAGCAAACGACAGAACGCACGCTCTGTTGATGGGAATATTCAGGTTGAGGTGGGTTTAAAAAGCATGTTTCAATAGCACTAATGCACTATTCTTAGTTGACACTTATTAAGAATGTTGGTATGTTTCAATTGTAGAATTTCATTATACAAAATATATAACTTATTAACAAAACTTAAAAACAAATTGGTATGCATGTAAAAGGGTATTGGGTGGAATTGTTATAGAATAAGTTATTATTTACACGTTGTTCTTTATGAAATTTCTGCACAAGGGCTAAATATTTATGGTCATGCAATAATAAATATCAAATGTTTTAATTCAGTCTTCGCCAACACCATCACCACCTCCACCTGTAGTAAAGATGTCTGTTAGCGACAAAAAGAAGTTATTTGAAAGTGCCATGGAAGAGCATCTGAAACCTTCACCTAAACCAGGTTAGTACCAATAAGAACATACTCTCTGATGAGACTTTGATTTATTACTTCATCTTTCTTTTTTTACTTCAGAAAAAGTATTCAGTTTTCTAAGTCAGGATGAAGTGGAAAAAATGAAGCAAGAAGAAGGTATGCAATTTAATAATTGAATATGATGATTCATTTTACTACAAGTGTTATTATTATATATTTTTAGAAAAAAAGATTGCCACATTAACGCGAGATGAATTAAAATCATGGGCTCAACTCGATGAAAATGAAGGTTTAGAAGATTTGGAGGAAACGCTAGAAGATCAGGATAACCGGCGACCTAAGTAAGCTCAATTGTACTCATACTACGCATTTAAACGTGTGGTTATTAAAATCTTTTTACCTTATTATTCCCTATTTTGTTTCCGTTTCTTAATGTCTGCATACCATAAAATAAGGAAAGACGAAACAGAAAATAATTATTAGTGATTGCATACATGTGATGTACCAATGTTAAAGACATTCACATTTTTTAAGCAGTGATACAATTCTACTTTGAAAGCTATTAGTTGTAGATTTTGTATGCAGCAATATTGTTTTTAAATGAACATACGGAAAATTGATATACATTATTTTTCAAACAAACCATCGTTGTATTGGCGTACTGAATTTCAGTAGATTATTAGTCGCAAAAAAAGAACAAGAGGATCAAATTAATTTGCATTATATACTCGAGTATTATAGCACTTTATTTAGTCCATGTTCGTGTCTTACATTTCTGTACATATAATGTTATGCTAGATATTTTCCAATTGTAAGATGCTAGGCATAAGGAAAAACTGTTTTTCAGTTGGAAAATGGTGATGTTCATTACCAGATTGTTTTATGAACATTAGCTGTAAAAATAATATGACACATATCTTTATTGCTTCTATGGTAAAATTTACAGTTTAAAAGAATTTCAACGTTTCATATGAATGTAAAGGACTGAATATCGTGTAAATATCAGTATTTTTATATCTGCGATAAGTTTTATATGTGTACATATAACTTGTATTGGGTGTTTTGTTTTAGCTATTGTTTTACTACAAGTGTGCATGCTTATTACAATTAGCGTGTAAGTGATTTCGTTACAAATTAGCGGTTGCTTTTATTTTTTTTTATATAAAATAACTTGTATTTGTACATAGGCTTATAAATCCACATTCACATTGTACCTTGCAGTTAAGGTTGTGGTGCTTACACAGGCACATTTACTGCACAAAAAAAGAAATTTGACAATCTCGTCTGATAAGATGAGATGATAATATTTAGGAAGATTATGCGGATTGAAATACAAATTTATTGTCAACAAATACATACATACGCTTTAACTCACTTCCTTTTTACATGCACTGCAAGCGAAAGATTCTGAAGAATAGTTATTATTTATTCAGCCACTAACAAGATTTATTTGTAGTCTTATTTATGCAACAATTTTATCCTGTTTCTATCGGTAAAGTGGAAATAATTATTTTTTAGAATCTTACAGCACCGATGCCTACATTATTTATAGACTTAGCCGTTGTGTAGTGTAGTTGAACCTTTTTTTGTATCGTTATCGTTTTGTACATAAGTCCTACGATACATTTTTTTGCCTTTGTACTGAACGTTGCTTTTGTACTTCTTCTTTTTAACGAATAAATATTACAATTTTGGCACATGTATATGATTTGTCAGTGTGCATGCTCGTTACCTTGCAGTAGCCGACTGAGCTCGCGAAGTTCGATCCCCCTTCTGCAGAACCTTCCAAGCAGTGTAAGGACAGCAAAAGCAGAACGTCGCTTGAAGGAGAGACTGGTACAGGAGGTATTCACCTTATTGAATCTTTCTCAATCATTGCGGTTTCTCATATCAGCTCTGAACAAGTTTATTAAAATAAGCAAATAAAATTTAATCTAGATGTAAAAAAGAAGAAACGTTGCTTAGTTTAAAATAAGTAATCCTTTGTTACAATCTGATTTCTCTGTTATCTCATAGGGTATAATTTCGGACGAAGACGAAGAAAGCCATTTAAGTCCTGCCGAACAGAGAGCTTTAAGAGCAGAGAAACGTGCAGCTTGGAGACAAGCGCGTTTGAAGTCTCTTGAACAGGTAAACTCATACTTAATAAACATAAACATTCATACTTAAATATTTCATGGAAATTAATCCTTCTAACATGAAACATTTAGGATGCTCTTCAAGCGCAGATAGTAATAAAAAAAATGAGCGAAATGATGGATACTGCGAATAAAACAGACGCACCGCAAGATTCTACAGATTCCGTCACTCCTGTTCCTGAACCAGAAAAGACGGCTGATGTAAGCAACTGTAAAGTACTCTTTGGCTCACAAACCGTTAGCAACTACATAGTCTAACGATGTGTTTGAAATAAATTAACCAGCATTTTTTTTTTCAATGTAATGATTTAACCTAAGTATTTACTAATTACTTCTTTGCTCGCCTGTGGTTCTAACTTAGCGTTTGTGTATTACAATGTAATTGTAACTACAACGGTACCCTCTTTGTCTGTCTTACTATCATAGTTTACTACGTTACGGCCGTCTAGTGCAGATTTTCCCAAACTTGCTGTACGCAGCAAAGTGGGTCCCCCTAAAGAGATCCGCGAATCCGAAAAAGTAGTGGACGAGAAGGTCACTCGGCGTACCGAGGAATATGTGGATGAGGTGACGGGTGAACGTCGTGTACGAACAGTTGAATACGTCGAGAAGCTCATTGAGCGGCAGGTACTATAAATTCTAGAACTTGCACAGAATTTAAGCACCAAACGTATCTGATCACATTATGGACTACAAATGGTTTGAGCGAGCAGGATAAGTTTCTCTTTAGATTATATTTTCAACTTATTATGCTATTCCAATTTTATTACCTTATCAGGGAGGTAAATACCAACACAAAGCCTCATAACTTTTACATATTCAAACCTTTAAACTCTGTTGAAAATTGTTATCTATTTTAATATTTCACCATCTCATATTTATTTCGCTGTTAAGGTAATACAGTTGAAGTGGGGTCAAAATAAGCCCTTACTGATATCCCTAATTGCCACTAAAAGAATTTTTTTAAAAAGTATTAAAGAAATGTTCATAAAAATTTGAGTAATGTAAAATATATATTTGTAATTTTTTAAACTGTTAAAAAAAATAATGTATGTATGCTTGGGTGTAAGTATGTATGTTGTATATGTGTGTGTATATGTAAACGCATGTTGCCATTATACATTTTTGCTTGAACGCACAATATCTGATGACACTAGTTCATTGGTTGTGTTTGTTGTTCCAAGAATCCAACACTGATCATGGAAGTGCAACCTGCACCACCTTGAGCAATTGATTTCATTTCCACTGACCACTAACAAACTCTTCTCACACTATTGGTAATGCTACTATTGGTTTTCTTATCTATCAGTTTACTTAAGCATGTAAAAGTATACATTCTCTTAAAATAATGTTTTACTGTAATTATTTTTATGGTAACGGTACATATTAAATGTTAATACTGTAAAAATTATTATAAGTTTTACATTCAATCTCATGTAATATATTTTTTTTTAGTATTTTTTTTATTTATGTTTAAGTTGTATACATCAGTGTATTTTTCAGTTTATTTTGAGACGGTTTTTCATGTGCAATATATATATATTTATGTAAACAGGTTGAAACTCTGCGAGAAAAGATTATATCACTGGAATTAAGTAATGCTGAAGACGATGTAGAAAGTATTACTGGCACTGGAGCAAGCGACGCTGAGAGCGAAAGTGAAGAAGTTACAGGACAGTCTTCGGCTGTGAGTACACCGCAAGAAAAAACTGAAACGATTATACCTACAAATATCACTGAAGGTGCCGCTCCTAAAATAAGTGCAAATACTGTTCTTGTTCCGAAGAAGAAGAAACGGAAACGTTCGAAAAAAGGTCGTCATTGACCTAAAAAATGAATTCTGGTGCAAAATGAAAGAGAAACAAAAGTGCAAGGAAATTGGTGAAACACTTCCTTGTAAATGACATTGTGAAAGTGTGTTCCAATAATGCAAACATTGCATTACATTGATCTTTGCATATTTTAAATTACAAATCTCGACTGTATTGGTGCATGCAGTACTACAAATCATTCATTATGCATTACTGCTTAAAAGCATACACATGTATGTATAAGATATCATTTCATGTCCATAATTTAATGTAAATTATTTAGGTGCATTCGAAACTACGTTTATCTTTCATGTACGTCGTGCTATGTTTTTAGTATCAGATATGCAGTTTTTTAAAATAATACATTTTTCAATAGAATTAGCGTATCGTTGCCTTCATTAAAGTGGTGCATCTTAAAAATCAGTCATCTCCTTTCATATTTCATGTACGACAAAATGTATATTTTAATATTTTTTGTGTTCAGAGATTGAAATCATTGGTAAAAAATATTGCAATGTTAAAGGAATTATCACTTAAAACGAAGTCCATGATGGAATTAGTATTTATATGACATAGAAATAGTATTTTTATTGTCAATATTATATATAATATTTCTTATGAAATAATTTATGAAAGTCAAATCCTATAGAAAAATCATATGATTTAATTCTTATGCTATTCTATATGAAGTGATCCACATTCCCTTTTATAATTTTTACTTTTTCTTTTTATTCTTGAACTGGTACTATTATAAATGGTATTCTTGTATTGAAACATGAATAATTTAGTTGAAGTTATATCAAGTTTTTAATTAAATTATAATACATGATTGGCTCCAAATGCATGTAAAATAAATTATTAGTTAGCATGAAAATGGAAAGTAACGTAAACCGCGCTTAATTAAATGTGGTTTGTAAAGTATTTTATTTATTTTCCTTTAGACGTAAGTAAATTAATATATATATTATGTAAAACTGTTTTAATACATTAGAAGATTCATTTATAAAGCATATGTATTTAATCATATTGTTAAACATCAACATTGTTTAATCACCCATCTTTAGAAGCAATACTTTAATGTATTTAAAGTTTTGTTATTCATTTTAATATATAAGTTGCCACTAATGAACGAACACTAGTATTGAATTCATTAATTGTTTTAAATATAACATTATAATACATATTTACGGATTCTATTTTTTAAATTCATTTGTTTTAATTTATTTACATTAACGCTTATTACATTTTGTCGCTGTTATAGTTTATTTACATATGTACACTAATGTATTTCCATACTGTCAAATGTTCTCAATTATGTACTCAATACGCATAAAAAGGATTAACTGAAATTATAACGTAACAAATGTAAAATGAAAATTCATTATTTTAATTTCATTCATACATTTTATTTATTTATTCCTGGTTATAACAGTAGCTTTGAATTGATGCACGTGTGCAGTAAAATTTGGCAAAATAATATATATATTAATTTTGAGAATATCAATTAAATAATGCAATATATGAAGTAAACGAAAGGTAAATAGAATATTTAAACAATTGTATTGTTTTTATTTTAAACTCGATTGCTCTTATTCTACTTGTTTTTGCAGTATCGAGTAAACACTATTAAACATAAAAATATCATATGGTTAATAGACAATTTTTTAATAAAAACAGATTATATTTTTAGTACTAAGATTTATAAAAATTATACATGTAAAATTACATAATATGTAACATAAGCAAATATTAATTGATACACTATTAATTTTGGTGTAAAGTGCGGTTAAAGGAGCGGGACCAATATACTGCATTAAAATTGTACAATAAGAACAAAGTACTTTTTTTGTACAACCATTATGTATAATTTGATATCTGTTGTCAATAACAGTGGAACAACAATAAAATTACTGATGGCATTATTTGCAAAAGTTGTGCGAACATTATGCCGCCAATCTAAACTATACCTTTGTAGAAATAGTAAAGAAAACATTTTTTAAAAATGTTGGATGTAAAATAAAAATGTATAACAGTTATAGTGTTGAATGTTACATAAAATATTCGTCTACTTGAAAAAATGTAAAATGTTTTAACACTACAACATTTCAAAATGCCACATGTTTTTTAAGATAGACAAGGCAAAATCATATTTGTAAACTCATATATTCAGAAATATGTACTTTACATCGACGTCAAATATAGTACTCGAAATAATTTATATATACTTTTAAAATACTTGTATTAATTCTTATTTATATAACTAATTCTCAATATTACGTTTCATTGTACACGTTTTATATTTTGATATTATCACCTAGTTTATTTTATAAGCAATAAACTGAAACTACTGATTTCCTTAAATGTGCCGGATTGGAAAACTACGATTGAACTAATGAAGTGCTGTTTATATGATTAGTACTAAATATTTATGGTACTAAGTTGACGAATAAATATATATTTATTTATCTATGTTATCTATTAAATAATATGTGTCTTACAATACTCAACACATTGATCAGTGGTTAAAAGATGTTTCATCATTTATTGTTATTTTATCTCTTCGGTGCAATAATACCTTCCAATTGTGCCTAAAAAAATTAATAGAACATAAATTAATCGAAAAGTAGTCAGAATCAATAGAAGAACATACCTTTAGCTGCTGATTTGTTTTCTTAAGGAACTGTATCTCTTCTGTATACTTTTTTTCTTCTGCTTCTCTCAATTCAGCTGCTCTTCTTTCAGCCTGTTCAAACTTTTGTTTCAATTCAGCAACCGTTTTCTCCAGCTCAGCCTTTTGCAATTGTAGCTCATCTGCAGCAGCAATTAGATCTTCCTTTCCTTGTTCAGCCTATAAAAGTCTTAATGAAATCTCAATATTCTTTACTGTATATTTGTTTCTATATTAAAAATGATAATTTACTTGGAGTGCTTTACGCATACCAAAAGCAATACTGCTTTGATATAAAGTCTGATAAGCAGCTAATGTCATTTTAAGTTCATCTCGAACTCGAAGCAAGAGTAGACCACGTTCAGCACAATTTACTGTCACCTGGCGTATTACTTCGTCTACGAAATAAAATTAGTAAAAATTTTAATTTGAAATAATTCAGTAATGTAAAGCTGTAATAAAACGTTACCAAAGCATTGCGTGTAAAGTTCTCTACGAACTGGGCAAATACCAGTTTCTCTTGCTTGTCTTTGTTGCAATTTCATATCAAGTTGTTCTTGTAAATTAATAACATCTAGTCTCGTTGCTGGTATACTTGATACCTGGACGAAAATTAGATAAATTACGTATTGAGTACTATTTGTCACACTCTGTAAAGAGAAACTGTTACTTGTTGAGTCCAGGTTTGACCATCTTCTTCCCATTGTTTAGGTGGCAAAATCCTGTTCAGAACTTCAGTAGTCTCATGTCGTGTGTCTATTGTAGGAATAGTTGTTTGCACTTTGCAAACTGTTGCTCCAATTTTTGGTGTTGTATCTTTGGGTACCTGTCTTAATAAGAAGATATAGTGAATCAAAATTATGATTGTATTTTATATAATCTTGGTACAATTTAAAGATGAATGACAGGTATTATTAAAAATAAATTGAACCTTCTCTGGACGAGTTGTGACTAATACTGGAGTGTCATATTTAACCAGGGTATCCATAACAGGGATTCCATCTTTTATCGCTGTTGCCATTATTATTTATATGCTGCTGAGTAACATACAATACACTATGTAAAGAGCAATATCATTTACGTATTTTTAACTGTCTGACCACTTAGTGTTATCATAAAGTAAATTTGGAGCTGTTGTCATACTAATATTGATGTAACACATGTTACTAAGTAACAGCACACCCATTAAACAAAAACCAATTAGACAATAAAACATTTATTGCAACAAACATCATAAAATCATATAAATTTAAAAATTACAATTATTACAACAATCTTTTAATATAAACTTCTTAAAAATACTTTATGTAAATATAGTATAAAATAATAACTTGATCTATATTAAATTTTTGTATACTTCTGTTAGTAATAGTAATTTATTATCTTGAAAATACTAAATTTATTAGAACTTTTATCAATTACATTTTAAATGTATTAAAGTTCAGAGTGTCTTTGTATTATTTTTGCTTCGATTCCAGCATGAAGTTTTTGGACTGTTCTAGCATGCTTTTTAATATGTTGTTCCATAGTAGAATTATCTACATCATAAGGTTTTCCTTGACGCGCCGCCTCTAAAGCAGCTTCCGTATGTAAGTGACGTAATTTAAGTAATCTGCCTTCATAATGTAAAAGTTCTTCCTATAAATTAAATAAAGTATTTACAAATTGTTAAATGAGGTAAAATTTTGGTTAATTTTAAATGAATCCCTTTACCTTCAAAGAAGCACGTTCTTCCGGTGAAAATGAACCTTCCAATACCATTCGCCATAAACCTTGTACTTTAGGCTCTATAAATTCTTTGTGATTTGGACCTTTAGCGGTTAATCTATCTAATCGATCGAAATCGCTTCGAATTTCCAAATGTTTCTCCCTACAATTATACATTTAGAATTTATTTAACTTATCTGGTAATAATTTCATAGTGGTATACGCATACCTAAGTAAGTTTGCTTTTCCTAAATAATCCAACTTTTGTCCAGGAACATTATTAGAAAATCTATCCTCTTCTTCTCCTTCTATTACATTCCAACTTGCTGGTTTATGATGTAAGCTATCTGCGAACATTAAATATAATAATTATCCTATTTAATTCTGTTTCAACTTAAACAATTAACAAACAATTAATTACTAACTTTCATGTATTTCTGTATCTCCTGCTTCCACATCTTTCAAAAGACTCATATATTCATCTATTTTATCTTGATGATGTTGAAACTCTTCCTTTAAAGTTTCCAATTCTTCATCTGTTAAACACATTTACAATATAGTATAAAGCCTTTGTTTAAAACCTAACAAGCATATCTAACAAACTTACGTGTAAAACCTGCTAATTCAGCTTTAGCCCATAACTTGTTCAATCTTTTATCTTTAAAAACATCTTTAGCAATATAATTACTACCATCATTTAATGCTTTATGTTTCTTCAATAGTTCTGGATTTTCTGTATCAACAAAATGTTCCAACAATCCATAGGTGCTCATAATACCTTTAAACAAATTAATTTTAAATTAGTAATTTTTTATTAATAAAAATTTAATATTCATTGTTTGGTTTATTATTTCCTTTTAAATTACCAATAAGTTTTTTTCTCAAACGTGCTTCTTCTTCGCCATTTGGATCTTTACCATCAGATTTAAAATGCTTGTATGCAATTTCTTCTTTATCATGAATTTTCAAATCACTGAATATTGACTGGAGTTTTGACTCTGTCAAACGCTATAAGAAAATATATGTTTACACACTGTTTTCATATGATTGTAAATGCGCAATTATATTGGATTAATACTTACGTTCTTTGCTTTGACCCAAAGAATATTTAATTTTGCCATACGAAATGGTTTATCCAATTCACGAAGAGAATTTGGAAACTGTAAAGGATCTTCATATTTAGGTTTATTTGCTTCAGCGGAATATTTATTAGCAGCTACACTTATGTGAAATAATAATCCGCATAAAAATATTGAAAAAAACGTATTAGTTAACAATGCCATTTTACGATTAATACCGTACTAATCTTTATACAAGATTGTCCAGAAGACAATTATATGAACATCTATATATACGAATTTGCCGACGTTTCCATTTTATACATACAAAGTTGATTACTATTCACTCCAGTAAGAGACTATACTTCTCAACAGTGACGAGATATGGGGCGGGTTTTTTCGCGCATGCGCGAGAAATGCAGGAGCGTACGCAGCGTATATATTTAGTGGCGCCACTAGGTGGCTTTATTATATATTTTGCTTACAGTTATTTTAGTACCTTTCCTTTCCATCTACTCCTCAAATATGCAAATATGTATATAATGTAATCTTATCCAACCTATACATTCATATTTCACAACCAAATTCTAAAAATTTTTGAAAAAAATAATGTAGGGTAATTGAGGTACCCTATTCTATTGAAACTTATACTTCACTGAGACTAAAATCGCCGCGCATGCGCGAAAAAACCCGGCCCATATCTCATCACGGCTTCTCAACAGTGTTGAGCAGTCCCAGCGCATGCGCAGTAAGCTATCCGTGGAAGTCCTCAGTAGCGTATACACTTTGATGAAATATAAGGTATCATTAGGCCCTAGTGAGGAAAAAAAATAAATCTGAAGAAAATTGCAGGAAAGAGAATAAAAGGGTTAAATAATACAACAGATTGTACATAATAAAAGAAATATTAAATTTATATATGAATACCAATATTTTTTGCAAGAGCAAAGGAAAAAGATACCGCACGATTTTTATCAGATCTATGCAGGTTAACAAAATAAAATCCATGTATTTCTTTGTTATTGTTTCTCTGATATTATAATTTTCACACTTATAAAATATAGTTATTCAAAGAGGTCCTTCCAAGTCGTTTTTCTTAAATAATAAAATCATTTAGTGTATTTAAAGTTATTGTGCTTTTGTGTTATTTTAAATATAATAATCTCCCAGCTTTTGTGTTATTTTAAATATAATAATCTCCCATATTCCATCATATCATTCCCATTATATTATATTATATAACTCACGATATATAGTATAGTATAGTATATATATACTATATAGTATAGTATAGTATAGTATATATAGTATAG